AAAAAAATATTTGTTGGATTTTCATCATGAAGATATTAAAGTATCTTATGATGCCTGGCCGGATTTTCAAAATAAAATTTTCAGGCCCGACCCGGATTTTTAAAAAATAATTTATAATTTTTGATTTATATAGCTAATAATAACGATTTCAAATATAGTTTGTTTTAAAATATACAGCCCGGCCCGGATATTTTTTTTAAAAAATTTTCAGACCAGGCCTGGGTGTTTTTTTTTTAAAATTCAGGCCCAGCCCAGGTGTTTTTTTAAAGGTCTCTGAAAAACATACCAAGAAAACTTCTGAAAGTAGATTGAAAGGTTTGGATCTTTTGAATATTCACAGGCATTTGATGACAAGCAAGGATGAGATAATTGAAAAATTAGCTCAATCCCAACGAAGATTGGATTTTGCATTATAAATATATAACATACAAAATACAATTATTCCTAAGAAACTTTTTGTGTATTAATTAGAGACCTTCATGGGCCGGGCTTGGGCCTAATTATAAATTTTCTAGCGGGCCTGGGCAGGTCTTGGGTTTGTTGGAAATTTTTGCAATAGGGCTTGGGCCTAAATTTTTAAATTCAAATTTAGCTTATTTTAAGGATATTTAATAGGATAAAAAAAATTCATGCAATTCCAGCATCTAATGTTTCCAGTGAACGGAATTTCAGTACTATTGGAAGGGTTATTGAAGAAAGAAGAACAAATTTAAATAACGAAATTGTAGATAATATATTATTTTTAAATGATAATTTGAAAATATTAATTAAAATTTTATATCATTTATTAATATTATATATATATATTATTACTAAATAAAATATTATATTTCTATTAGTATTACTTCAGCATAAGTTAAGTATACATAAAATAATTTTATGGGCTTGGGCCGGGCTTGGGAAAATTTTTAAATATTATAGCGGGCTTGAGAATTTTTTTAAATATTAAAAACGGGCCGGGCCGGGCTTGGGCTTAAAATTTTTTTTTACGATGGGCCTGGGCCGGGCTTAGTCCTAAAATCTAGGCCCATGAAGGTCTCTAGTATTAATTTATATTTCTAACATTTAAATTTTTTATACTTTATATATAAATTTTAAAGGCTCAAAAAATTCAAATTTTTATTTTAAGTCATTTAAATGATTCTTTACATATAATTTTTTTCTAATTCACATTAATTTAAAATTGTATATTAGAAATAGTTATTAGTCCTAATAAATTTTTGCTTGATATTTTTAAAAAACAATAATATTTCTTAAAAAATTTTATTATCCCTCCCTCCCTCCCTCCCCAGACCAAATTCCTGCGTACGCGCCTGGCTTCTATATATTTAGACCTCGATATCAAGTTTTATTGAGTATTGAACAAAATGGCTAAAGACCATCTTAAGGATTTATGGCATAAGCAAAACTCTATTCCCCCCCCCTCCCCAGACCAAATTCCTGCGTACGCGCCTGGCTTCTATATATTTAGACCTCGATATCAAGTTTTATTGAGTATTGAGCAAAATGGCTAAAGACCATCTTAAGGATTTATGGCATAAGCAAAACTCTATTTACAATATATTGCAGGCTACGACAATACCTATTGGTTGTAGTGATAATAATATTGATAGCAACATTGATGATCTAGAAATTTTACTTTTAGATAGAGAAAAAAAAATCAAATTATCATCAGATAGAAAGGAGGATCAAAAAATGCCTATTGCATCTTTAATAGTAAAGTTCTCAGAAGTTAAGAGAATAAATAAGAATATAAATATTTTAAAATTCTGGGAAGAAAATTCTTCAATATATCCAGAATTATATATCTTATCTAGAATCTTCATGGCTGTACCGGCGACACAAGTACAATAATTTTATAAAGATAACTATCTATTTTAGGGATGGGTAGAACGTGAATTTTTATCTTTGAAATATATATTGTCTACTTTACGTGGAAATTTCAAGGATGATATTTTAGAATTCATGTTTTTTGGGAACTTGTAGTCCCACCTCCGTTTTTATAAAATAATGTTTTATTTTATTTTATTTTATATTCGATATGTTAATTTTAATATTATAAACTATGTTAATAAAAAGTTTAATAAAAAATAAAAAATAAAATTTAGAAGATATTATGATTGTGCGAGAATAAAACATATAAAATATAAATTATTTCATTTTTAAATTTTTCATTTGTAAATTATGAATTATATATTGAAATATAATAATAAAAAAAATCTTATTTTGAGTCATTATTTTTATGTTCCCTGAACCCGGACCCAAACCCCCCGGGTCCTTTCAAATTTTATTCCTGTACCCGAGCCTGAATCTGGACCCTTTTTTGTCGAAGGGTTCACATCCCTGCTTTAAAATCTAAATATTTAAATTTTAGGACAGTTTGACCCTATTTTTTTTAAGATTCCACGTCAATTCGGCAAATTTGGCACGTATCTAATACAGTTGCAATTTATTATAAATTTATTATAAATTTATTAGTATTACCATGATTAAATAGAAGTCATTTTGAATGTTTGGTCCTAATAATTATTTATACATTTTTTTACAAAAATTTCAATTTTGTTTACTAAATATGTAATACCAATAAAAAATGTAATAATATCAAAAAAAATTAACAAACCAATATTTATACTGATTTGAACCAATTTACCATGTTGTAAGATATGTTGATCCAAAAAATCAAATTATTTAAACCAAAATTTTGAACCTCTAAATAAAGCGCGTTTCGGTTTTTTGTTTAAAATTGGTTTGCTCCTTTTATATTTTTTTTATAAAAGTTGTGTTAGAGTACGGTTCAGAATATTATAATGGTTCGTTCCGGTTTTGCGGTTCAGTTCGAAACCATGATTTAAGAATAATATTATATTTTTGTGATTAATAAAATTATTTTAAGGATTTTTAATAAATCTATAAAATGAGTCAGTTTTAAAGGTAAAACTTTTTTAAAGTCAATAATTATTTTCTTACGATCATTGGATATGATTGCAAAATTCAACCTTTAGCATGAGACTTTCCTTTTAATAATTCCTTACTTCTAAAAAATAATTTGAATTTTTTTACTTCAATATCTTATAACATGGTAAATTGGTCCACCAAAGAAATCAGAAAATAATTTGTATTTAATTTTTTTTTGATATCCAACCCTCAATATGACTTCTATTTAATTATCCTTTTGCTTTGTATTAATAAATTGCAACTGTATTAGATAACCGATTGACGCCAAGCCTAATTGTTGTGATACCATTTTTTAATCTCAATTTTTCAGAATCATAAAACCTTAATGAATATTTCTGAATGATATTTATAAAGTTTGTAGGCCATGGTTGTTCATTGGATAGTTGGTCCTATTAATTTGTTTTGATTAAAACAAATGCAAATAATTTTCAATAGATATTTATCTAAATATTTTAAATTGTTTTTCTTTTTAAAAAAACCTATGATTTTTTAAAATCTCTAAATTCAATTAAATTTAATTATTTATTGCGTATTTTGATATTATCAATAAAATATACTTCAAAGTAGTGTAACGGCTCTATTTTTTAAAACGGATAACCCGGTAATTTAGCCAAAAATATTACCCAAGCCTGGAGATTTTGCTATTATAGCAGAATGGTTTGCTATTAATAAAATCTCGAAGCTTGCGTAATTTTTTTGGCTAAAATATAGAATTAGCCGTTTTTAAAAATTGAGCCGTTTTACAACCTACTTCATAACATAAAAAAATAATTTTATATTTTGTTTTCCATTTTTTACATATTCACTTTTCTAAAAATGTATCGTTTTTATAAAATATATAAATTAACTATTTCAAATCGCCTTTATCTCTTAAAATTCCCGATTTTAAATAAACGGAATATGCTACATTTTCCAATTTTCTTCCAAAATCATGGGAGATAAAGCTAAAAAATGTTGCATTCTGTTCGTGTCTATATCTTGATCCTTTAAATATTATTGTCAGATGACAAAATAACAGGAATAGTAAGCATTTTATACAAACATAACATGTAATTGACCTTGTGAAGTATATTGATATATAATTCACTTCCTTCCATTAGTTCAAGTCAAGATGATTATCCCGACCATGAAGTCGATTTGTAATACAAATGAAAATAGCAAAAGTCAAAATATGCCATACAATACAAAAAATCTTTTAACGGAATCGAGTGGAATAAAAACATCGATATTTTTGCATCTTGGGAACGAAGAAAATTAAAGCTCCCGAAGTCTATCCATTATGTCTGTCCCAGCTATACAGATTTAGCTTTAAGGATCAATTTAAGAATAAAAGTTTGATGTACAAAAATATATATTCGAATAAAAATTGAAAATAAAAGTATAGGTTAGCTTTAATAAAGAGTGTTTTATTTTTTTAATTCCTCTATATTTATAAAAATCCTGGAACCTGAACCGAACCTAATCAAAAGGCTTGACGCTCTGCCTTTGATGTAATATTATTAAATGCCATTATGCATAAGTTTTAATTTTTATATGAATAATGCTAAAATCCTGATGAGTATTTATATAAAATATCAGTAATTTGATTTGAATCAGTATTTTTTTCAATTGTGTATGTGATTTGTTTGAAAGAACTTAAATATTTTTTTTTAAATATTTTTTTCATTGGAATGCTCAAATTAAATAAATGAGTATAAGGTATTGTTATAAATGTACACATTTTAACAAATTTTAGGAGAATTAGTCCAATAGATAAAAAGTTAGGCAATACTCCTAATATACTTTATAAATATATAATGCTAATGAATATTGTATTAACTTTTTTGTTGGCTATTGTCTATTGTATGTTACTTTTATATTTTGAAAAGGAATTTGCATAAATAATTAATTAATTTAAATAATTTATAAACTTTTTTATTTTTATTTATTTTATTATTTTTGAAAAATGTAATATATGTAAAATGTAATATATGTTAAATATACGTTATAAATATATAATTTTGTGAAATTTTTTTTCGTAAATTTTATATAAAAATTTTGGATTCCAAAAATCATTTTTTCTGAATAAAAAAATTTGTAACAAAGTTAACACATTTCTAATTCTCGCTAGGCAACAAAGAATTATTATATTCTGCCCTGGAAATTGAAAAATCCTGGGAGAACGACAACAAGTAAAATGGTTATATATAAAGTTAGAAAATTTCTTCTCTTTTTTTAACTCTTAAAGTTGATTTATTTTATATATATTCATTATATACCTATATACTAGATATTTATAAGTAAGTATGGAATTCAATTTTAGGCATAATTTCGTTATATTAAATAAAATTGAATTTAATGAAAATCGCTAATATAAAATATTTATGATTTCACAGATATAATATGCCTAAAAAATTAATAAATTTTTTATCCATGATGAATTATTAATCTTAATTATTTTTTAAAATCATCAATTTATATTTTTTGATAAAAAAAAACCATTTATAAATAAAATATTAATCATATTTACCTAATAATATCTTTTCTACCTTTTATTAAAACACAACCTTTCGATTTTTCAAAAATAATTGTGATTATATTCTTCATCATTCATTTTGATTTCAAGATTTTTTTAAAGATATATTGATTAATCTTATATAATATACCCAATTCTCAGGTTTCCTTAGGCGAATATCTACGAATCAAGATGCATCAAAAGATTCTTCTTTTTTATCTTCGAGTATTAATAATATTATATATTTATAAAATATTAATATATATACTGATATTTATGAAAAATGAAATTAGTTTCGATTTTTTTTATTAATCAATTAATTAATTAGAAAATTATTAAAAATTTATGATTAATTTAAATTATTTATCAAATATAACATATATATCTTTTGCTATATAAATATATAATATTATTATATATTTATATATATACGTAAAAATTAGATGATTAAAATTTAATTTTTTTAAAAAAATAAATAAAATAATAATATTCCAAAATTTGCTATACAATATAATTTTCTCAAAATTCGCAAATTTTATGTTGTTTTTAATATCCAATATATTTATTTAAAAAAAATATTCTAAATAATATACTATGTATTTATTTTTATATAATATATCGTAATCAATAAATCCCGATATAGTATAAAAGTTAAATTAATTATAAGTATATATATCTAATAATTAACAAATTATTTTTATAAAAATGTTTTAAAATGGCCCTTTTTAAAAAATAAATTATTTAAATTCGGATGTATTATAAATATATGATTTAATTATATATATATTTAACATTTTTTTAACCCAAGTTTATTCTTGCACTATCAAATCCATTTTAATAATTAAAGGCTTTTTAAATATGTTTCTAGAGGTCGGCCTGCACTAACTAACCGACAAAGATTTTTGAAAAATTATTTCAGTGGCTCTTAAATTTTTTACTCGTGAGACCTGGCCGAATTTTTTTTTCGGATCACTGGCGTTAGGCCGACATCTATTTGATGAATTAAATATTAAATATATATATCTTTTTAAATATAGTGTGATTGTATGCATAAACATTTAACTGAAAATAAAGCTTGGACATATTTTTTCTTAATCTTCTTTATTTGAATAATTACGTAGCCTCATCCACCAACATCTAAATATTTTTGTTTAATTAGTCCATTCCCTCCTCCTATGCCCCGGATTTATATAATTTTAAAATTTTTAATCATGTTATCCGAATCATTTTATCTATTGATTATAATATATAAAATTTATTATATTTTAAGTTAACGTTTTATATGGTGAAGTATACTAACTAATAATAATTTTAGGAAATGTTACCAAAAATTCTAATAAAAGATTCTACATAAAATTTTTAAACTAAAAATATGACTATCGGAATCATAACCATACCCAGGATTTTTCTAGGGAGAGGGGTTTATAGTGCGTATTGATGGGCTTTAGAACAGATTTTTACTTGCCTTTGGCTTGGTTAAAACTATTGTATTGATTTCATTTATTTCTTGGAAAGAAGGGGTCAGAGGTGTAGGGGTATTTCCAGTGTAAAGAAACTTATTTTTAATTGGGAGGAGGAGAGATTTTGTGTCCCCTACTTTGGTTATGCTGATGTTCTTTACTCATAATTCATATTTTGCCATCATTGACTTAATAATTTTAAAAATTTGATATAAATAAAACAAATAGGTGTTTATATTTAAGCCCTCGTTATGAAGACGTTTGGCATTATCACATTTTTTAAACCAATTTTTGTTTTACAGGTTCCTTTTTTATTTTGGGGTTATATTTCCTTAAAGGTATATTTACAAAACAGGAAAAGTGAAAATTTCTTCTTCCCTTATTGGTTACATTAAAGTCCTATATAGTCTACAACAATAAAATTCAAAATTTTTATAAATAATTGTTAAGTCACTTGCAATATTCAAGCTCTATATTTATTCTCATAAGAATGTGTAATTATGATAATTAAATTTATAATTATTTTATTAATCTATGTTAGGAATTTTTTACAAAAAACAAACATTATAATCATAATTTATTTTTATAAATATATATATTTTTAATTACATTATCAATTCAATATGGAGGCTATTATCGTATTGACTTAAAATTATTTAAATAAAAATTAAATAAATAATTATTTGGAAAAAATATTTTTTCTCCTAAAATACATTCTGATATTTTATTAAAATTTATTTTTTTTAAAAAATTTACTCCCTACAACAAACATGTTAAATTTTTGAAATGTCAATCATTTTAATGCTTTTGCGAATTTGTTTAATACTTTATTACAATGATATGTCGATCATAAGCAACACGATTCATAAAATTTTTTTGACAAAAACAAAAAAAAATTTAATTTATATATTTTATACACGCAATCGCTATAAAAAAATAGGTATGTTAACAATTAAAACCAGTCCTATGAGACCGCAAGAAAATGTAAATATTTGAGGCCGTTAGAAGTACAAAAGAGGCGATCAGAAGAAATATATAAAATATTTATATAATAATTATACTAGCTAATAACCCGTCAAAAATGACGTGGTTGTGGGTAATTAGTTAGTTTGTGTATAATGGTACTAAATATACTTTTATTAAAATTTAGGAGAAAAAGAGATAAAATTGTTGCAATGTAACCCGTGAGCATTAAGGGTATTAGAAATATCAAAATTTAAATTTGTGATAGGAATCATATTGGGTAAAATTAAAAATATAAATGCTTCAAAATTTTTGAATTTTAAATATGGGCTATACATTGATCTCAAAATTTTGTTTTGCAGACACAGCTAGGCCTGGTCAAAAAACCACGTCCCATGCAACTTTTCCAAAATTTTGCCATTTATTTCTTAATAATGTCTTAAATTTAATTTTATATTTAGAATAAAATTTAAATTTGTGATAGAAATCATATTGAATAAAATTTAAAATAGAGATGCTTGGAAATTTTTTAATTTTAAATATGGGGTAGACATTGGCCTGAAATTTATTTTTGCAGACATAGCCAGGCCTGATCAAAAAACCAAGTTTCATGCAACTTTTATAAAATTTTGCCATTTATTTCTATATAACAATGTCTTAAATTTAATTTTATATTCCATTTATTTCTATTATAATTTAATAACAATATCTTAAATTTAATTTTATATTTAGAATAAAATTTAAATTTGTGATAGAAATCATATTGGTTAAAATTTAAAATAGATATGATTGAAAATTTTTTAATTTTAAATATTGATCAGACATCGGCCTGAAATTTCTCAAACCTGGCCAACCCATAATAATTTTGTAATTTTTTCTCAAGCCTGGAGATAGGTAAATCTCTGAAAACCATATTGTTGGGAAAATTTTCTCAAGCCCGCCAAAGACCATATAATTTTGTTTTTTAATTTTAAATATGGGCTAGACATTGGCCTGAAATTTTTTTTACAGAAATCGCCTGGCTTTTATATTTTACCCAATATGATTTCTATTACAAATCTAAATTTTATTCTAAATATAAAATTAAATTTAAGACATTTTTATTAATAAAAATAAATGGTAAAATTTTATGAAAGTACCCAATGACTTGGTTTTTTGATAAGGGCCTGGCTATGTCTGCAAAAAAAATTTTTTAGGCCAATGTATAACCCATATTTAAAATTCAAAAATCTTAAAGCCTCTCTATTTTAAATTTTATCTAGTATGATTTCCATCACAAATTTAAATTTTGATATTTCTAATACATGCTCAAGGTATACTTTGTAACAATTTTACCTCTTTTTCTCCTAAATTTTAATATTTTTAAAAAATTTATTAAAAAAGTATATATATACCATACACACAAACTAAATAATTACCCTTAAACCCCTTCAGCTAGTAATAAACGGCAAAATTTCAAAAATATCAGCTATTAATTAATATATATATAATTAATATTTTAAATTTAATTATATTCACATTCGCCTTTGAAACAAGAGGTTTGAGGTTCTACTCTCGTAGTGAGCAAAAAAATAACATTACACTATATAGTCTCCTTAAATTTTAAATACATTAGGAAGATACGAAAACGATCATGTTTTGATTATGGAGATTATATATATTAGATATATATTAGATGATTCAATATTCAAAATGTTTCTCTTATCTTATCACTATAATATTAACTTTTAATTAATTACATTCCTTTTTAACATTTAGATAAATTCAGTTATATCCGAGATCTCCAGATGTAACTAATGCACTATCCAGTAGGCCTACAAAATACGAATTTGCTATTCGTATTAGTACGAATCGAATAGAATATTAAATTCATTATTCTATTCGTCGAATATTTTATTAAATTCGAAATTTTTTCTAATGTTTATAAAAAAAATTATAGACAGATGTGGATGTTTTAAAATAACACCTTTAAGGATTCTAGTAAAACTAAGTTAATTGTCATTAGCATATCAAGATTTACAGAAAATAACAAGCGAAATAAAACCAAATGATTTCATAACCTTATCCGTAATATATATAATAAAATTATTAATATTTAAGAAAATTAAATTAAATTATCATATATACAACAATTAAATGTGTCACTTCTTATGAAGATAAAAAAAAGAAGTAATTAAAATAAAGCAAAATAAATTTAAAAAATCCATTGGGAAAATTTAATAAAGACTTTAAAAAATATAATATTCCCTTAAAATTACTAATATAAAAGAATATTTAGAAATAATTTCGAATACGAATTATAATATTATTTTCAAATAATATGAATAATAATGCGAATAATTTCGAATAACATGAACAATAATTGTGCCATTCTTATTCATAAAATGCGAGTTAAATCAAATCGAATAGAATATCGAAAAAGAATATTTTTTAGGCCTACTAACCAGCCGTTTGTAAAATAAAAAAAATGTGGGTTAGACCGGATATTTTAAATTTATATTCTTTAACCAGGCCCGGATTTTATATCCTCAAAGCTGGCCCGGCTCGACGCGCATCATTAAGAAATTTGGCCCGGTTTTTTTACAGGGTTAGAAATATTTTTATATATCGACATTATGATTCGTTTTTCATCCCATGTGAAATACTTTAATATAATAATAATTTTAAAGTTAAAGTCTTTATTCCAAAATGAAGATCATTTTTCATTTAATACAAAGGAAAAATACAGTTGTGTTCATTTTTGGCGAAATTTATTTTATTTTGTAATATATGTTTGATAGACTAAAAATAAAAATTATAATG